TTTTTGGATACCAGTTCTTTGTTAGTTATATGTTTTGAAAATATTTGCTTTCACTCTGCAACTTGCTTTTTCCCTGTTGTCTTTTTTTTTTTTTAATGCAGTTGTTTATTTGTTTAGAGCACAAGCAGGGAGAGGGCAGAGAGAGAGGGAGAGAAAGAATCTCAAGCAGTCTCCACGCTGTCAGCACAGAGCCCGATGCGAGGCTTGATCCCACGAACCACAAGATCATGACGTGAGCCGAAGTCAAGAGTCGGATGCTCAACCGACTGAGCCACCCAGGTGCCCCCGGGAATGGATTTTTGATATATTTTAGTTGGTAGCTTCCAGATCCCCAGAGTCAAATAAGGGGACAAAGCCATGTGGTCAAAACAAAACAAAACAAAACAAAACAAAAAGCCCCATAGTTGAAGACAGATTGTATTTTGAGAGAGATACGAATCAAGTGTTTGGCAAAAGGGCCAGGATGCTCTGGCTTGGCAGAGAGGGGGGCTTCTTGGGGCAGGAGACACCCTTGTTGGCCCTTGAGAGGTGAGAATTCATTTGGAGGGGATCCTAGGGAAAGGGACCGGCAGACACAGAAGTGCAGAGGTGAGACAGCGTGGAACGTGTATGGGGAACTTTAAGTCACCCAGTCTGTCTCCTGAGTGGATGTATTAAGGAGGAAGTTATCAGCTTCAAGTAACACGATACTGATCTACAAGTGGCTGAAACAATTAGGTCAGTTTATCTCGTACTGAACCAAAAGTCTGCAGGTGGATGGTTTCAGGGAACAACGTCATCAAGGTATTCTTCATGCTTTTTTTTTTAAGTGTTGGTTTTGCCTTGACAGTTTTTCTTCCAAAACGTTTATTTATTTTGAGAGAGGGGGGAAGGGGCACAGAGAGAGGGAGAGAGAGAATCCCAAGCAGGCCCGGTGCAGAACCCGACAAGGGGCTGGATCCCACAAACCATGGCATGAGATCATGCCTTGAGCTGAGATCAAGCCAGATGCTTAACTGACTGAGCCACCCAGGCGCCTCTGTTCTTCATGCTCTGTTGTCAGCATTACTTGTCCCGCAGAGGTGGCTGTTGCTCTTAGTTCCTCCTCCCGGCTACCAGAGCCTCAGGAAGAAAGGGGAGGCGGCTGCTTCTCTTTCCTGATACACCCCCAAACAGAATCACACCCTTCTTAATCCGCAGCAAAGGGAAATGGATTAACTTAACCGGTTCGCCTTCCCTGGAGACATTGCCACCTGCCTACAACCAGGGATCTATTGGGAGAGGCAGCACTGTGGGTGTTGGGTGCCAGAGAGGGTGCCTGGTGGTGTGCAGAGAGAGAAAGAGCTAGAACATTAAGGTGAGGCCCCACCACAGGGCAGGGATTTGGAGATTTAGTCAGCCCTGGGGCTGCTGGCAAGGACAGGTAGGGTGTGTATAAAGGACTGGGCAGGGGTTAGGTTGATAGGCCGCTGGAAAATGGGGGGGGGGGGGGGGGGTACTGCAAGAGCCCAGGTGAGAGATAATGCAGGTAAGGTTGTAGAATTTTGTGTGTTTTTAAAATTTTGCAAGTTACCACACAGTAGTGAGTCATGAAATGAATATTGATTTAGTGGTTCCAACTAACCTAGATTTTTTATTTTTATTTTATTTTTTAATGTTTGTTTTTGAGAGAGAGAGAGAGAGTGAGCAGGGGAGAGGCAGAGAGGGAGACACAGAATCTGAGGAAGGCTCCAGGCTCTGAGCTGTCAACACAGAACCCGACGCGGGGCTCGAACTCACGAACTGCGAGATCACGACCTGAGCCTAGGTCGGATGCCTAACCGACTGAGCCACCAGGCGCCCCAACCTAGCTTAAAAAACAAAAGCAAAAACAAAACCAAAAAACTTCTTACCTCCCCAGGATCCTGCATGCCCGTAGTCTCTTTAACTTGACTTTGTCCTGTTTCCTTTTAAATCTCTCTAAACATTGTCTCTTAGTCTTTTGGGGAATCTGAATTATCTGCTCACCCCCAATACTGGTGCTCCCAGAGTTTTCTCTTTGACTTGGTGTGATTTTCTCACACTACCCTCTCCCCAGCTCATCCCTTGCACTTTCATGGGATAAAGTACCATCTCTCTACACTGACAACCTCCAAATCTATACCCCAGCACAGTCCTCTCCCTTAGCATCAGACTTAGCATCTATCTACTGGGCATCTCCACCTGGTGTCCTGTAGACTTTTTGTTTTTATCATTTATTTTGAGAGAGGCAGCGATAGCATGAGTGGGGGAGGGGCAGAGAGAGAGGGAGAGACAGAATCCCAAGCAGGCTCTGTGCTGTCATCATGGAACTTGTTGCAGAGCCTGATGCGGGGCTTGATCTCATGAACCGTGAGATTATAACCTGAGCTGCAATCAAGAGTCAGACGCTCAACCGACTGAGTCATTCAGGTGCTCCCACACAAGTATTTTTTTTTTAACGAAGCTTTTGTGTCACACCAGACGCCTATGTGTCCTACGTCCTGGTCAAAAAGGTTTTAAAAGGTCAAAAGGTTTTAAAAACATTGAAACCAGGTAACAGGCTAGATGGAAGGAGTGGGAGGAGCCAGGGATATCTGCAATACAAACGGGGAAGTTAGGAGGAGCTGGTTTGGGGGGTGGGGGAGTAACAACTTTTGTTTTGAACACCCGGAGTCTGGTTTACAGTAAATCATGCAGCGTAGTTGCCCCTTTACCTTCCACTTCCAGGTTCTGGTCCAAGTAATATTGAACGAATGCTCTGAGGAATGAGGGAGTTTCCCTTCAAGGTCATTAATAATTAGCTCCCAGGAAGAGGTAATCCTTTAAAAGGGGAACTAACATTTACTGAACCCTTACTATGTGCTGGGCTCTCTGCATCCATTGTTTTTTTACATTTCAATTTTTTTTTTAACAGGAGTGAGTTGTGTACAGGGGGGTTAAATGCTTGATAGACAAGCAAAAAAACTGCCCTAGAACCAACTTATTCATCATCATCTTCTTCTTCTTCATCTTCCTCCTCGTCCTTGTCCTCCTCCTCTTCCTTCTTTTTCTTGCGTTTCTCAGCCTTGACGACTCCGTTTTTTGCCACATCAGGCTTTCCTTTAGCTCGGTCTGCAGCAATATGCTTTTCACATTCTTCCTTCAGCCTCGGAGTCCTCTTTTCATAAGGCTGCTGGTCATCTGCAGCGGTGGTGTTGTTCCACATCTCGCCCAGTTTCTTTGCAACATCACCAATGGATAGGCCAGGATGTTCTCCTTTGATATCCGCCCCTTTAGGGGGGGATAGAAGTTTTCATTTCTCTTTCATAAAGGCCTTGTCTGTCTTTGCCCTGTCTTCAAACTTTCCTCGCTCTTGCACCTCTTAGAAAACCCGGAGAAGTCGACTGAAGCATCTGGGTGCTTCTTCTCGTGCTCCTCTCAGCAAGTTTGCATAAAGAGTGCATATGATGACATTTTGCCTCTCGGCTTCTTAGGATCCCTTTGGCCCGTGTTTATTTTCCTCAGCGAGGCACAGAGTCGCCCAGTGCCCGTGTGCCTCTCACTTGCCCCGGTGCTGTGTCTGTGGAGCCCGATGTACTGCAATGGCTGTCCAGCTGTTGGTTTTTTTTTTTAACGTTTATTTATTTTTTGAGAGAGACCGAGAGTGTGAGCGGGGCAAGGGCAGAGAGAGAGGGAGACAGGGGACCCGATTGCCGGTGAACATCATCATCTCTGAAAGCATCAATCACCAGGGTTCCCGATGGCTTCAGGTGTTAATTTCCTAGGGCTACTGTAACAGACTACCACAAACCACGTGGCTTAGAGCAACAGAAATGTATTCTGTCCTGGTTCTGGAGGCTAGAAGACTGAAATCACAGTGTAAGCAGGGCTGGTTCCTTCCTTTTTTTTTTTTTTTTTTAACGTTTTATTTTATTTTTATTTATTTTGAGAGAGACAGTGTGAGTGGGGGAAGGGCAGAGGGAGGGGTAGAGGGAGGGAGAATGAATCCCAAGCAGGTTCCACACGGTCAGTGCACAGAGCCCGATGCAGGGCTTGAACCCGTGAAAATGTGAGATCATGACCTGAGCCGAAATCAAGAGTCAGATGCTTAACCAAGGAGCCACCCAGGCGCCCCTGGGCTGGTTCCTTCTGAAGGTGAATCTGTTCCCTCTCTCCTACTTGGTGATGACCCACTGGTGATCCTTGGCTTATACATGTACCACTCCCACCTCTGCCTCCATTTTCACACGGCATTCATTTGGTCATTCTTTTAAGGGCACAGTCATACTGTCATACTGAATAAGTCACCTGCCCCCACTCCAGAATGACCTCATTTTAGCTAATTACATTTGCAGTGACCCGATTTCCAAATAAGGTCACATTCTGAGGTACTGAGGGCTACAACTTCCACATGTCTCATTTCATTTCACTTCACTATTTCATTTCATTTTATATACAGAGAGAGAGCATGAGCAGGGGAGAGAGGCAGAGGGAGGGAGAAAGAATCCCAAGCAGGCTCCATGCTCAGTGTGAAGCCCAGTACGGGGCTCAATCCCACTACCCTGGGATCATGACCTAAGCCAAAATCGAATCTAACACTTGGGGCGCCTGGGTGGCTTAGTCTGTTACATGTCTGACTTTGGTTCAGGTCATGATCTCACGGTTCATGAGGTCCAGCTCCCCATCGGGTTCCCTGCTGTCAGTGCGGAGCCTGCTTCCGATCCCGTCCCCTTCCCCTCCCCCCCCCCCCCGCCCGCCCCAACCTCTTTCAAAATAAGTAAATAAACTTAAAAAGAAAGTCACTCAACGGAGCCACCCAGGCGCCCCAACATATCTTTATTGAAGGATGCAATTCAACCCATAACACCTCATTAAGCAGAATAAGCCAGGAGCAAAAAGGAAATTATTTGATTTGGAGGATTTTGCACAAAAAGTTGAGATTATTTCTTTTTTACAGTCCTAAATTCTCCAGGAATTGGTAAGATTCCTAGAATTCTCCTGAGCATTTCTTATGAATACTTAGAAGTCCCTACATTTCCACTACTTCCTGGACAATATCTACAAAGACATTACCACCTCATGAAAACACAAACCCACCCCCTTTCCCTTCAAAACCCACCTCCCTCCTGACTTCTGTGTTTTTCACAAAACTCGCTAAAATCTCCCCATATTCCAGACAGAACCCTTTCCTTTCCATTCTCCTTACCCCTTCCAGGTTCAGTTCCTGATGGCTGCCTGCCCCTTGGGAAGAGACACTCCCTCCCTCTTCCACCTCCAACCCAGTCTGGCACTTTTATATATGGCCAATTTTCTAGAAACACCATCTCCCGTCTGACCCTACAAAAGCCTCAGTAGCTTCGGGCTACCTAATGAAGCTATTTAACTGCTCCATTCCGCATTCAAGGCCCAACCAAATTTTGTGCCAGCTTCATGTGCCACCCCACCCCCATCCCTGCCAAATGGAACGCTGCTCCGACCTCCTCCTACCTCGCCCTTCCTTGACCTCCTGCTTCTCCCAGTTGCCCCTTTCTGCCTAGAGGTAGGGCTATTTGTGTCCCTGTCTCTGCTCCCCACCAGGCTCCGCTCCTTGAGCCCCAGGCAAGGCCCCCACAAGGCCGTATCAGTTCATGTGCCTGGAATAAACCCAGGGAGTCTCCCTGAAGGAGGGACCTTGCCAACTACAAACTAGAAGTGGCCTAGGCGTTTTCATCCCAGAGATTGGGCTCAGCGGCTGTCAGGGGCCGGCCGGGCCGAGAACGTCTCCCGGACTCAGTGGAAGGAAAGTGCGGGCCGCCCAGGGGCTGGGGATCTGGAGACACCGCTTCGGCCGCAGCGCGCCCGGCGTCCGCAGCCCACAGGCAACTCACCCGCTCCTCAGGCCGGACTTACCTCCCGCCGGTGCCGGAACGCCACGCCGGCCGGAACCTTTCCGCCGAGAGGCCGGGCACTTTGGGGCGGAGCATGTAGGGACCGGAAGTCGGCGGAGGAAGATTGGACTGTGGGAACCTGGTGCTTTACCTGGAGGATGAGCGTCCATTGTCTCCTCGTGGCGGGAGGTAGCGTTCCTGGAATATTAGGTTAATTTCCCGTCTGTCATGGGATATTTCCTCTCTCGGGTCCTCTGTCCAGCTCTCCGTCTTGGAGTCCTCGCTGAGCTGAGAGGCGCCTCGGAGCGATTGTGCTTCCCGGGGAAGGGGTCCGCGAGGGGCTCCTTCCCGGACTGGGTGGCGGGCGGGCGGACGGTTCAGATTCTAACGGCCGTTTGCTGACTTCTGGCTGTATTTTCTTCCTGGGGCTGCAGTGTCAGAGTGACTTCCCATTGGTTTTACAGAATTGTTTCTTGCATAGTTTTTGCCCTTGCACTTGCAGAAGCATAGTCATAGTAGAAATCTCGAAAAGTGTACCGGAGAAACAAAAATCGTCCTTCAATCTACCACTCAGCTGAAACATTTCTTACACACGTATAAAATTTAATTTTATCTGGCTCCCCCGGATGAGAAAGAAACTAGTGAAAATGTTCTTAACAAGAGATAGTAATTACAAAAGGATCTTTCTAAAGTTAAAAATGCCAAAACGTTAAGCAGTTGAAGACATTGAAGGGCATAAAATTTCCAGGTTGTAAAACTTAGGACTTGTCCACAAAAATCAGAAGACACCTCTTGTGAATTTGGTCTACTACTTCTAAAATTATGGGAAAGTCTCTGCCACTTTGCAAAGGCTCTGGTGAAGCCACAACTAATACTAAAGAGAAGTAGGACATTCCAACTTACATTTTGCTAAATTTTCCTTTCAGGAAGGTGGCGATGTTTTCCAGTTCCGTTAGGGTCATCCTTGGTCCAGGGTCTCCATAATTCCTGCTGTCGGAAAAAATCCACCGCACCTAAGAAGATTATTCCCAGTGTTGCTCTTTGTGATGAAAATACAAAGAAATCTGGAAATGCACTTGACAAGCTCTTCTCTTCAGAGCAGCAGGCTTCCATCCTGCAGGTGTTGAATACAGCATCTAATAAAGAACTTGAAGCTTTCAAATTGCTTCGTGGAAGAAAATCCATCAATATTATAGAGCACAGAGAGAAGTTTGGGCCATTTCAGAATTTGGAGAGTTTAATGAATGTGCCCTTGTTTCAGTACAAAACTACCATTCAAGTTTGTAACTCCATTCTTTGTCCAGAGACTGAAGGGGAAAAAAGAAAGTTCCAAGACAACCGGCTCTTGAGAAAGCTCATCAAACCAGAGATAAAAAGAGAGAGACTTAAGGTATATCATTTTTCTTAATGTCCGCTATATGGCCTACATATTTGAGAACATACTTTGCAAAGCACTATTCTGGGCATCAAGACAGCTTAGAGTTTAGTTGGTATGTGATCAGTACTGAAGAATGAGATATACAGATAGTAAATTGGCAATGGATGGGGCAGGGAACTGTGGGCTGTGACTGTTGGGCAGATTACTGGTAGAACTCAACCTGGATCTTGGAGAGAGAGAATTAGGCTACCTGGAGGAGGTGGGCATTCTAGGAAGAAAGAACAGTTGTAGAGAAATAGGTCTGTGCAAGGTTTATTTAAGAGGAATGTTGAGAAGCTATCTGGCTGTGTCTGAGGGTTCTATCGAGAGTAATGAGAAATTAAGATGCAGAGATGGTTATGGCCAGGGAGTGACTGTACAACATTATACTGGTCTTTCCAGCAGGATTTAACGTAATCTTTCCCTTCCTACCTCCTTTTAAAAAGCATTCTAAAAGCAAATCCTTTTCAGTGTTGTATTTATTTATTTATTTATTATTATTATTTTTTTTTAACGTTTATTTATTTTTGAGACAGAGAGAGACAGAGCATGAACGGGGGAGGGTCAGAGAGAGAGAGGGAGACACAGAATCTGAAACAGGCTCCAGGCTCTGAGCTGTCAGCACAGAGCCCGATGTGGGGCTCGAACTCACGGACCGTGAGATCATGACCTGAGCCGAAGCCGGCCGCTCAACCGACTGAGCCACCCAGGCGCCCCTTTATTTATTTATTTATTTATTTATTTATTTATTTATTTATTTATTTATTTATTTATTTATTAAAGCGAGAGACAGAGCACGAACAGGGGAGGGCAGAGAGAGAGAGAGGGAGACACAGAATCCAAAGCAGGCTCCAGGCTCTGAGCTGTCAGCACAGAGCCCGATGTGGGGCCTCAACCCACGAACTGTGAGATCATGACCTGAGCCAAAGTCAGACACTTAACTGACTGAGCCACCCAGGTGCCCTCTTTTTTTTTTTAATGTTTATTTATTTTTGAGAGAGAGAGACTGAGTGCAAGCGGGAGAGGGGCAGAGAGAGAGGGAGACACAGAATCTGAAGCAGGGTCCAGGCTCTGGGCTCTCAGCACAG